GAAAGTCATTGGGGTTAGTTTTTTTCTATTTCTGAGAATCTATATAAGTGCCTAATTTCCTTTCCTTGTAAGTGTAATTTCCACTTACAAACTAATTTTGGCAATAACACGTTTTCAACACACATATGCAGATACATACAAACACACAGACAGACGCATACAAACACACAGACACCCCACAGTTTCCATTCCAAAATGTCAGCCATCAATCAGTTACAATAATGTAAAACCCATCCGTTACAAAACAGGTTGGATTCAAATTCCCTGTCTCCCTTTTGTTCTTTCTTTTTATAAGAGTTACCTTTGCTGAAATTTGCATTTTAAAAAGATGGTGGGATTAAGAGTTCCTGGAGGAGACCAGGTGGAATATATGCATATCAAAGGCATAGGAGGAGAAAGGCAAGTTCTCCTAGAAGGACTTTGTTCTCTTAAGGCCAGAATTTTTTTTTCCAATACGTGACAAGCCTCTTAGCATAAAGAGGGAAGGTTTTGGGAGTGGTAAAAGGATGGGTGGGTTTCGGATTGTTTCTGGAGCCGCACCTCTGGTCCTGTAAAGACTAGATTTGTAAAACAAGGACAGTGCTTAATTCCTAAAAAATTGGGTGGCCACCTCAGTGTCTGATCAAAGGACTGACATACCCATTCAACCTATGTTGGAATGTTTTACTTTCCCTCGTTTAGCTTAGGTCAGAAGACACCCCCCACCCGCCATATTCCTATCAGGCTCCTAATTTCAGCTGTGGTCAGTTTAGTCATACCGGTGGCCTCCCATCTTGGTAATCCATTTACTAACACTTTTGAGCACCCTCCCTGGGTTTTAAGAAATCCTTTAACTGGGGCCAGTCAGTTAGGCCTTTGATCTGAAGAGGCTCACCTACAGCCTCAGGTGGTCCCATTTCTAAAGGTAACCATTTAATGGCATCGTCAGAGTGGACAGGCACTTCAGACAGGATTATTAAAATAAGTACTCAAATGAAGGATAGAGGGGAGCAGTAAAGTTTTAGGTACCTTTTAGTTACCTTTTATATCACTGATCTTTCATTAGCCTTCTGCAACATATCTTTCAATGAGACCTCTTTTTTTGGCCACATCACACAGCTTGCGGGATCCCCAACCAGGGATGACCAGGGATCGAACCCCGGGCCCCTGCAGTGAAAGTGCTGAGTCCTCACCACTGGACCACCAGAGAAGCCTGTCAATGAGGCTATTTTGGAATTTTGAAGACTTTCAAAATTCTAAATATGAATAACAATAGGAAAATAAGATGAGAGGTCCCTAAAATTTTACAGTTTAGAAGTTTTCCCAATTCAAATGCTCCTAGAAGCTAGCGCTGCAAATATTTTCCCCTGCTAACCTAATTTTAAAAAAGAGAAAAACTCTTAACTACTGTTGTTTCCAGTAGACCCTGTGGACAGAGGTCCAGGAGACTGCAGGGTTTTACTGCGCATGAAAAATCAGTTTTGGGGTGCTTAAAGGAACCCATCTTGGGGACTTCCCTGGTGGTCCAGTGGCTAAGACTCTGTGCTCCCATGCACGGGACCCGGGTTTGATCCTTGGTCAGAGAACTAGATCCCACATGCCGCAACTAAGAGTCCGCATGCCACAACTAAAAGATCCCACGTGTCGCAACTAACACCCAGTGCAGCCAAATAAATAAATAAATATTTTTTTAAAAAAACGAAAAGAAGCCTATCTTGGCCATTTCAGGACAGATTTCCTTTAATTCCAATTAAGTAGTTGCAAACATACATAAGCCCAGCTGGTATTCCCATTGGTGGCTGTCTGAACGGGAGCTGTTTGGCCTTTGAGGCACAATTTCCCATTATTAATGTCTAATTCAGCCTAATGTCTAATAGCCTAATTCAGATATGAAATATGATCTAAACAACTTTCTGAGGGCAGTGTGGTGGATTGCATGTGCACTGCATCTGAGTCTAGCTCCCCAAGGAGTTACCCGTGGGTTACTTCGACTCTTTTACCTGTCTCAGTTTCTCCCTGCGACAGCCTAAAACCATCACAGGTGCTCGGAGTTCTAGGTTATCAGCCTCTGTTGCCCATCCCCCCTCACACCTCCACGAGCAGTATTTACTTAATGGTTATGGTGGGTCTCTCTTTTTCTTAAGAGCTGAATAATTCAGTCTCTCATTCCACTAGCAACAGTTTTGTTCAGACCGTATGGCAACTTTTTTTTTTTCAATTCAAGCCAAATTTATTTATTTTATTTTATTTTTTACTTTTTGGCCTCACCGGGGGCCATGTGGGATCTTAGTTCCCCGACCAGGGATCGAACCCACGCCCCCTTGCAGTGGAAGCCAAGGAGTCTTAACCACTGGACTACCAGGGAAGTTTTCCATTCAAGCCAAATTTAACAAAAACCCAGCCACCTATGTTTCCCTGGGCCTCTTGCCCAGACCCCCAGGTCCTGCCTAGGGAATACACCAGTGCCCCTTAAAACTCCAAGTCTTAAGTGAAAACAGCTCGAATAAAATTTTCAGGATCATCACTCAAACAACAAGATCCAGCTATCAGGAGAACTCGTCAGAACCCCTGAGAACACCTGAGGAGTACCGAGAAGCTGGGGGGGCCCAATGGGCCCATGCTGGTACTTCGTGTTGGTTCCGGTAGACTCCAGGTGCCCTCTGGTGGGTGTCTCTCATATCCTGCCGGCTACGCCATGCAAGGCAACGAAAAAGTTAATCGGTCAATCTAAGAAAAAAGTGGAAAACTTTATTCAAGCCAAAGTGAGGACTATAACCCAGGAATGGCCGCTCAGAAAGCTCCGAGACTGTTCCGCCATTAGAGGTCAAACCACAGTTATATAAATTTTTGAGACAGAGGGCTGTACGTTAAATGACGTGTTATTGACAGTTTACACAATCCAGGTACAAGGCGAGTAGTGGGTCGTGGGTCTTCGTGGCCCCTGACAAGATTAAGAAGGTTACCTCCTAAGCAGGTGTGGTTAATGCAGGTGCACAGCACACACTAAAGGGGAGGGAGGAGGCCCAAACCGGCAGAGAAAATGGTTGTGTTTGAAGTTTCTCGTCTTGTTGTAAAATCTGGATTTTGTTTCATCAGTCTGTTTCCCTGCCCCTTCCAGGTCCCAGCCGTCGGTTCAAGCGGGTTGTAGAGACCATCCAGGCTCAGCTGCTGAGCACTCACGACCAGCCCTCCGTGCAGGCCCTGGCAGGTGGGAGACACCTTGGGGCACCCGTGGGGCGGAGGGGAGACTTCCTGGTGGCCAGGTGCTGCGGGGGGGGGGGGTGTTGCTGGCGAGGCTTCAGCTGTGGGGCAGCAGGGCCCACCTGCTGTCGCCCTTAGGTCCTACCTGCAATGCTGGGAGCAGGTTCCCAGAGAGGCTGGGGCCTGAGCTCCGAGGGAACCAGGCCATCCTGAGCCTGAGAAGGCCTCACCAGGGAGGGGACCTCCAGGGACCCCTAAGGGGATGACCCGTCTCTGTCTCGGAGGTAGCGGAGCTTTCCGCTAACAGAGGCTCCTGAACTGTGTTCTGGAGGAAGGTGGCCGGCCATCCTGGTTTGCTCAGGATGCAGGAGTTTCAGTGCTAAAACCGGGACAAGCTGGTCATCCTCTCTGCAGATGCTCAGACTCTTCTGACCCCGCTGGGCCTGGCTTTCAAGGACTTGGGCGTCCCCCCGGGCGCGGGCGAGGTCTGTGCTCCAGGGGGAAGGGGCTTCCCTTCACCCAACAGCCCCGGTCTTCGGAGCAGAATTCCCTATCAGCCAGGGATCAGTGAGGCCAGGGTCACAAACAACAAACTCCATAGTTCAAACAACATCAATTTATTATCATACAGTCCTGGAGATCAGAGGTCCCGCACAGGCTAAGCAGTCTAACACCAAGGCACCTGGAGGGAGGGCCTCAGTAGTAGGGAGCTGGAGAAACTCTGCCTTCTGTTAGTCTGGTTCCCCAGGGCAACCAGAAGTGAGGAAGGCCCCCTGAACCTCTCCAGACCCGGTTGCCAAGGAAAGCTGGCCTTGACAACCAGAGTTCCTAAAAGGGCATGCATTCATGTAGGACCCACAGACACCCAGGGCCCGAGCCACATGCCTTATAAGGGGAATGGGGCAATGGGGGACCTCCATTGGTTGCTATGGCAACAAGGCCTCCAGCAATCAGTGTCTCTTAAGGGGCTGGCCTCTGCTACAGGTACTATTTTGGGCCCTAAAGAAACTACTGCATGGCTGCTGGCAACCAGCACTGCCACCGCAGTCCCCTAATCTGGGGCAGTGAGGCCCTACAGAAAGATAACCGCAGTCATGCAGGCCCAGCTGGGAGGGCCCGAGACCCCCAAACCATCTGCTGTGGGCTCCACTGGGCCCCATTAACAACCAGTGGAAAGTAATGGGGCCCTTTGGCCATGATCGGGGAACTCAGACGGTGCTGTAACCAGAGTCTCTGAGGATGTCTCCTGAGCTGGGCCAGCCAGGTCTCACTGGGGCATGGCCTGGCTTCCAAAGCCTTAGGTTTGGGGGTGCCTGGGACACGTGCCTTGTTGGTCTAGGGAAGCCAGGCCTAGTTGCTGGCGTGTGTGACCCCTGGCAGCCACCTCCCCTGCTGGAGCACATCCCTGGGCTCGGTACCCCTGGGGTTCCTGAAGCCAGATCGCTTCCTCCCCCACAGACGAGAAGAATGGCGCCCAGACCCGGCCTGCCGGGACCCCGCCCCGAAGCCTGCAGCCCCCGCCCGGCCGCCCAGACCCAGAGCTGACCAGCTCTCCCCGCCGAGGCCCCCCTAAGGACAAGAAGCTCCTGGCCACCAACGGGACCCCCCTACCCTGACCCCAGGGGGCCGGGAAAGGAGGGGCGCCCCCTCCACCCCCCTTCCCTGCCCCCCAACTGTGAATCTGTAAATAGGGCCCAAGGAGTACGTAGGGAGGGGGGAGACACAACAAACCCGGCCTTGCCCTGCAGGGATAGGGCTCAGGGGGCCGTGCCCAACGGGGGTGGTTCTGGGGGGACTGGGGGGGAGCTGTTTCTATTTTATTTATTGATTAATTTATTATTTTATTTATTGATCAATCTCTCTGTGGGGTGGGGTGGGGGAGGGATGGGGTCTGGTTGGGGTGGCTTAGCAGATCCGGACGGACAGGGCCATCTGTCCTTGTGTCCCCAACTCCCCCTTCCTGGGCCCCCCTCCCCTGGTCTTCTCCCTTCCCCACGACCTTCTGTACGGATTTGCTCTCTGGAAGGAATTCTGATTTCGCGTGATCCTGCCTGCGTCCGTGTCTCTGATTCCGCCAGCGGCAAAAAAAAAAAAAAATTAATAATAATAATAATAAATATCCTTGATCAGGGATGGCTGGCTGGCCTTGGCCTCTCACTTCCTGGGTGGCCTTGGTTGCAGGGGCGGAACCAGATGGCAGGGACAGGAGGTGCGAAGATGCTACGCTGACCAGGTGTTCAGTGCTGGACCTTCAGGGAGATGGGGGAGGCCGGCGGGGGGCTCAGGCTGCCAGGGCCCGGCTGGAGACACAGGGTGCAGCCGTCCAGGCTGGAGAAGTCCACCGCAAAGAGGCCAAAGAGGATGAACAGCAGCATGGCGACGACCCATTCACAGGCGGCAGAGGCTGAGCGCAGTGACCAGGTGTGGAGGACGACCACTGTACACCAGGGTCAAGGGCACAGCGCCACGGGGAGGATCCGCAAGCCCGGCTAGGTTGCTGAGTGACCTTGGGCAGGCTGAGACCATCCATCTCTGGGTACCCTCTCGTGACATGTCCGCCCTGCCCTGGCTGGAATGGCCCCTCTGGCTGGACACCCTCCTTGGCAACGCCCAGACACTCTCAGATGGATGCCCTCCAGTTCCCGCCTCTGTCTCAAGCTGTTTTCTAAACGTTTGCCCTTGCATGTTTCTCCGGTTTGCACTGCATTCCCAATATCCCAGAACAAGGCTCCTATCTTCCTGTCGGCCTTCCCTGACCCCATGAAGGCTCTGCCATCTCCCCACTTGCCAGGGCCAACTGGCCGCCATTGCTTCTACCTCCAAAAATGCAGGGCTTCCTAAAGATGCCTCCACCCCACCCGCCAGCCTCAGGCTGTGCTTGCAACTTTCTCCCCCGACCCAGGGCCCACAGGCCCTTCCTACTCACTCCCAAACAGGATCCCCCTTTCTCCCTAAAAGCTCTTCCTCTTTCTGGGTGCCCTGACCTCCATAACCACACCATCCACTCCTGTCCCCTAGCAGACCCGTGGGAATCGCCTTCGTCCCCTCCCCCCTCATCCCCATGGCCAGCTGGACACCCCAAGTCTTGTCCTCTCTTTCTGGCCTGGCATCTCTACTGGTTGGCCCTGTCCCTCCTCTGGCTCCACAGTCCCAGCTCTTTAAAACTCTTCTGTAACCACTGGTCAACACATACTCTGAGCTCCCACCTTGCAGAGATGCCTCTCGTTTTCTGGGAGCACCCCCCTCACTGGAGCACTCCTCATCCCCCCTAGATCAGATTAGACATCATTTCATTCGTTCAAGGATTTCTAGACAGTGAATAAGGCCAACACCATCCCCAAGCCCCACCAATCCTAGAACAAAGAAGTGCTTACCCCAGAACTGACTTTGTAACTCCCCCACTCACAAGCTTTCTGTGGCTCCCTATTGCACTTGTACAGAAGCACAAGCCTGTAATCCCTCACTTTAGCGCTGGAGATGCTCATCTCTGGCCCTGCCAGCAGCCTCATCTCCTCCCCTGGGCTGGTTTTCCCACCCTCCGCATGTACCCGCGGTGTCCCTCCCTCCTTCCCCCAACCCAGGCCAAAAGCAGCTGGTTCTGCAAGACCAGCTCAAATGCCAGGTCTCAGACCTCTCTTTGCAGCCTTCCAGCCCTTATGACACTCAGCTGACCATTTTATGGTCCTGTCCCCCACTTTCCGCATCCAAGGGATATCAGAGCCCCACAGAATGAGAACCCTGTGGCCAAACTGATCAACACAGGCAGGATTTTGAAAGGGGCCGCCTAGACCTCATCGTTAACTGCACCTGCTGCTGCACAGGATGGATGCTGGTTCTGCAGCTGCAGAAGGCTGAGCTCGGGAGCCAGCCCTTCCTATCCATTTCACTGGATTCAATTTGCTGCTCTGGGAAACGAGATCGCCACCTCCATTTTGCTGGGAAAATGGATCCAATTTTCCAAAGGGATCCTCTGAATGCAGCCGGCCCAGGGTCTCAGCTGGGTTCCCTCCAGCCTCTTCTGGATGCCAAGGACCTCTGGCCTCCCCTTCCATCATCCCCACACGGGGCCGCAGTCCCCAAGGCTTAGCATGCAGCCCCTCCTCTCTCTCAGAACACTCTGCTTCTCAGTAATCCTCATTATTCGGATAAAAGCAACTCCATTCTACAGATAGGGGATCTGAGGCTCAGAGAGTGGTTTGGCTCACCCGGAGGTGTGCTGAGCTCGTGGGTTCTGGGGTGACTCAGAAGTGGGCTGGAATCAAGGCTCCACCCACAGGCATGCTGGTAAATGTGTAACAACTGGCTCTGATTTGTAGCATTTGTCAGTTTCTTGGCCGTTTCAAGCTATTACTAACGTGACATCACTGCACATGGAGCTGGGAAGAGATACACACAGACAGCTCAGGAGACCCTGTACCAGCCACCTCCAGCCTACCACCAGCTCTGCCATTGAACTTCACGACGGTTCTTGGCCATCTGAACCTCCGTTTCCGGTCTTAGCCAGCACGATGCCCAGCACAGAGCGGTACCCCAAACGGACTGCTGTCTTCGGTTTATCGATCTCCCAACATGTATTGGTTACTCACTATGTGCCAAGCACCGTTCTAAGCACCTCACATGTGTCATCTCCTGCATTCCTCACATTCCTTATTATTATCCACATTTGATAGATGAGGAAACTGAGGCACTGAGAAGTTAAGAAACCAGAAGAGTTCCCCCTCCTCCCCCAACTAGTATGTGGAGGCAGCGTGACCCCAGAGCCGGGACTCGGTGACAACACCACTATAATCCTGCATGGAGACCGAGGCTGAGAAAGGAAGGGGCACCCTCCATAGCACACAGCAGACCCACCCCAATGAAGACGTACCCCCAACACCTGTCCCCGGCCCCAGGAAGGATACTGGCCACCGTGAGGATGGTGCAAATGCTGCAGAGGAGCAGACGGAGTGGCCCGATCCAGGGAGCCCCAGGCTGGGGCAGGCTCTTCACCCTCCAGAAGACAAGGAGCTGCAGCCAGAAGTAGAATATTCCCACAAAGAAGGCGAGGAAGGCCCCCATCAGGTGCGTGGCCCGCTGGTTCTTTTCCTGGGAGAGGAAGGGAGCAGAGTTGAGGGGCAGACCTGTGGGAGGGAGAGGGCCACGATGCCGTGCGGGGAGGCACCAGGACCAACTCCACGGACTGTGCTTGAAAGCTGCCATACCCGGCGAATGGCTGATTGATTAGGTGCATTGGCTATTGACAGCTCCATGAGGCCAGGCATTTATTTAAACCTGCTGTTCACTGCTGGGGCCTCCATCCCTAAAACAAGGCCTGGCACATAGTAGAGCCTGGTAAAAAAGATTTTTTTTAATTAATTAATTTAATTTATTTATTTTTGGCTGCATTGGGTTTCGTTGCTGCGCACGGGCTTTCTCTAGTTGCAGTGAGCAGGGGCTACTCTTCATGTGGCACGTGGGCTTCTCATTGCGGTGGCTTCTATTGTTGTGGAGCGCAGGATCTAGGCGCGCGGGCTTCAGTAGTTGTGGCACGCAGGCTCAGTAGTTGTGGCTCACGGGCTCTAGAGCGCAGGTGTGGGTTGTGGCGCATGGGCTTAGTTGCTCCGCTACATGTGGGATCTTCCTGGACCAGGGCTTGAACCTGTGTCCCCTGCATTGGCAGGCAGATTCTTAACCACTGCGCCACCAGGGAAGCCCAAGCCTCATAAAATATTAGTGGAATAAATCCTTCGTTCTCAACCTGGGTGGAAGAGAGCAGATTGTTGCCACCAAGGGGGTAAAAATTGGTTCTTGGAGGGTGAAAAAATATTAAATGTTACAATGGTTTCTGGCTTACAGATATAGTATGTATTATATTAAAATGTTTTCATATTAAAAACTCCATGGCGGGGGTGGGGTGGGGTGGGGGAAACTTCCCTGGTGGCGCAGTGGATAAGACTCTGCGCTCCCAATGCAAAGGGCCTGGATTCAGTTCCTGAACATGCATGCCGCCACAAAGAGTTTGCATGCCACAGCTAAGGAGCCGGCAAGCCACGACTAAGGAGGCCACAGCCCACAACTAAGGAGCCCGCGTGCTGCAACTAAGGAGTCTCCCTGCTGCAACTAAGACCCCACGCAACCAAATAAATAAATATTAGGGAAAAAATAAAATCTTCATGGAGGGAAAGGATGATTAGGAGAAAATGTCTAAAAAAGTCTTCTGGGGACTTCCCTGGCAGTCCATTGGTGAGGACTCCAGGCTTCCACCGCAGGGTGCTCGGGTTGGATCCCTGATCCGGAACTAAGATCCCACATGAGGCAGGGAGCAGTAAAAAAAAAAAAAAAAAAAAAAGCTTCTGCGGGGGGGATATAATAATTAAAGGAAAAAATTAAAGAAAAAAGGTTAATGAACACAGGAATACATGATAAGTGAATGATTTGCTATGCAAATGTCATGGGGAATTTTTGTTAAGTTGGAGGCAGCCTCTTGTCTAAACACCCTGCGGCTTCCACGGCCTTTTGGCGGGAGAGGTTTGGAATCAGACATCATACTGAAAAACAAATAGATAAAAAATAAAATGATAAAATAAATCAATAAGATTTCTCCTATTACTAATCCATTTATTTATTCTACAAATATCTACTGAGCTTTGTGGCTAAGAATGTGGGCTTCTAGAGTCTACGAATCTGGGTTCATCTCTGACCACCACGAACCGGCTGATAAAGAAATATCTCCGTGGGATTTGACCAAGAAGGACCTCCCTGGAGTTCTTGTGGAGATGGGTTAAAATAACCCTGCACAACGTACAAAGCTAGTGCCTTCTACAGAGAGAACACTCCATCGATATGGCAAACATTAAGAATAAGTGGGGAATTCCCCCGCCGTCCAGTAATTAGGACTCCACGCTTTCACTCCCCAGGGTCCCGGTTCGATCCCTAGTTGGGGAAATAGGATCCAGCCAAGCTGCGCGGTGCGGGGTGGGGGGCGGGAGGAGGAGTGAACTGAGAAATTTTTTTTTTTTTTTTTTGCGGTACGCGGGCCTCTCACTGTTGTGGCCTCTCCCGTTGCGGAGCACAGGCTCCCGACGCGCAGGCTCAGCTGCCGTGGCTCACGGGCCCAGCCGCTGTGCGGCACGTGGGATCTTGCCGGACCGGGGCACGAACCCGTGTCCCCTGTATCGGCAGGCGGACTCTCAACCACTGCGCCACCAGGGAAGCCCATGAACTGAGAAATTTTATTATTAAATGGGGCTATGGCAGTGAATTACCCCAAACTCCTAGGGGTTAACGGAATGATTACAAAGAGCCTCCCACGAGGCCTCTATCTGGAGACCAGAACGCCCTCCCTCCACGGCCCGAGAGCCACAAGAGAAATACAAGTCCCAGGAGCCTGTGCGGGGACCAGCCCCCCAAACCAGAAGCCTGCGCCCCGGAGATGCTGGGAGTTGTAGTCCCAGACTCGGGCGGGCAAGAACCTGGGCTGGCCTGCTGCGTCTCACCTGAAAATTGCCCACTATGGAGGTGCCCAAGGTGCAGAGGAGCCCCGTCCACAGGATCAGCTGGTTAGGCCACTTTCCGACCCCCCAGTCCCGAAGCTGGTGGTAACGGAGAATGCAGGTCCAGGCGGCTGGGAGGAGAGGGAAGTGGGCGGGAGGCCCGAGTCCCAGACTCCTGGGTAGGGGGTGGGGGGTGGGGTGGAAGAGACTGTGGGTCCTGGAGTGAGTGCCCAGCTCCTGGATTTGGGGGAGGAGGAGGCTGGGTGCCGGGGCCCTCTTGGCTGGGCGGGGCTAGCACCGAACGAAGTGTGCGCGGGAGTATTTACCCAAAGCAGCTCCCAAGTTGAGCACCTGGCTGAAGATGCAGCTCTGAGGGGGGCTATTTCCACATCGACTGGGGGAGATAAAGGGTCATCCTGTAGCTCCTCAGAACCAGGACCCCCTTCTTTCCTCCCTCCAGACCCCCCCCAACCCCAAGCACCATAACTACCTGATATAGGGGAAGCCTTCAGTGAGGTTCACAGCCTTGTTGGCCACAGCAAGCGAAAAACTGAAGTCGAGGAGACATCAAAGAGAGTACAGGGAGTTCGACGAAACTTTTCTTTCTGTTACGCGCAGAAACCGGACTTCTAGCTCCCCCTCCCTCAGACCCAGGGGCCCAGGGCCCCAGCCCCTCCCCCCTCAGACCCAGGGGTCCGGGCCCCCAGCCCCTCCCCCCTCAGACCCAGGGGTCCGGGCCCCCAGCCCCTCCCCCCTCAGACCCAGGGGTCCAGGCCCCCAGCCCCTCCCCCCTCAGACCCAGGGGTCCAACCTGCCTCTAACACTCACACGGTCCAGATGCCAGCAGTAGCCCAGAATGCCAGGAAGGCAGGCAGCAGGGACAGGTATCCCCACATGCTGGGGTCTGCAGGGAGAGAGGGGCAGGGACTGAGGTCACGACTTTATCTCTGTCTCGAGACTTTATCTCTCTGTCTCTCTCGGGTGAGCAACCAGCCCTAAGGGTACAGGTGTGTCATATTGTGGCCACCGCCCCTGAGGCCTCCATTGGCTCCCAGGCATAAGTAATGGGCAAAGGTCCGCTCTAATGAGCCAGCTGTCTGCTTGGGAAACATTCCCTACCTTTTGCGTAGTCCTTTGTCCTGATCTCCTAGTTTCTCTTAGCTGTCCTGCTCCCACCCAGATTCTGAGACTCTCCCAGCCCCTCCCTGCACTTCCAGCTTCTGGACTCCCCCCGATGCTCTCCTGTCCGGGCTCCCTCTGCCTCTCTCCACCCTGGGACTGGCGCTGCGTGAGAGGTTTGGGGAACATGGCTGGGTTGTGGGGTGGGACTGTCGGCGTTCCAGCAGAGCCAAAGACACTGTCAGGCCAAGAATATGACCTCCACACTCTTCAGGACCTCAACCCCAAACTGCCACTTCCGGTCTCAGAACCGAGCAGGCAGCACCTTAGCTTCCAGGGACCCCTAGCTTCCTTCCTCCCACTTTATAGCTTCAATGTTCAAACTCCCAGCCCTTGTCCTCCTCAAGACCCAGAAATCTGAGCCTCTAGCTCTCTCCACCCTTCCTCCCTTGGGGACCCAGAAGTCCAGGCCTCCAGTCCCTTCCAGAACTCATGCAATTGTTTCTAGCCCCTGAGGTCCATCCTCACAGCTGTTACCTCCTTGGGGACGGAGAATCCAGACCTGCAGGTGCCTGCCCTTCTGAGTGTAGTTTCTGTCCTGAGGCAGTCGGGTGTGGGACCCTGGTGACCCTTCCTCCTCCCCCCACTGGCTTTCCCCTCTCTCTTCCTCTCTATCAAGCTGGAGTTCCCCACAGGCCGGGCCTGAGTGGGAAGGGCGATCTTAGTGATGACATCTCCATCGGAGAAACCTCCCTCCCAAAAAGCGACTGCTTCCTCTACCTGGACCGTTTTCTTCTCTCTCCGGCAGAACAAGCCTCAACTTCCTGGCTTCCTCCCCTCTTGGTACTCAGGTGTTTGTGTCCTAGGCCCCCTCCTGCTGCCCCAGGACCCAGGAGTCCAGGCCCCAGCCCCTCCTCCCTCAGACCCGGAAGTTCCAGCCCCTCCTCCCTCAGCTCCCCACCTCTTTTTTTTTTATAAATTTATTTATCTATCTATCTATCTATTTATTTATTTGGCTGCATTGGGTCCACGTTGCTGTGTGCGGGCTTTCTCTAGTTGCAGTGAGCAGGGGCTACCCTTCATTGCGGAGCACGGGCTCTAGGCGTGCGGGCTTCAGTAGTTGTGGCTTGCGGGCTCTAGAGCTCAGGCTCAGTAGTTGTGGTGCACGGGCTTAGTTGCTCCGCAGCATGTGGGATCTTCCCGGACCAGGGCTCGAACCCGTGTCCCCTGCATTGGCAGGCGGATTCTTAACCACTGCGCCACCAGGGAATCCCCCTCTTTTTTTGTAATTGAAGTAAAATTCACATAACATAAGATTAACCATTTAATTTTATTATTTTATTTTATTTTATTTATTTTTTGCTGTGCCACGTGGCTTGTGGGATCCTAGTTCCCCAACCAGGAGAGTGAACCCTGGGCCCCTGCAGTGAGAGCACGAGTCCTAACCACTGGACCACCAGGGAAGTCCCTAACCATTTAAAATTATACAATTCAGGGGCATTTAACATATTCACAATGTTGTGCAACCACCAGCTCTATCTAAGTTCCAGAGCTTTTTCATCACCCCAGAAGGAAACCTCGTACCTATTAAGCAGGCACTCCCAATTCCCTCCTCCCCCAGCCCCTGGCCACAACCAAACTGCTTTCTCCATATATAGATTTTCCTATTCTGGACATTTCATATCAATGGAATCATACAATATGTGCCTTTTCATGTCTGGCTTCTCTCACTGAGCATGATGTTTTTGAGGTTCATCCGTGTCGTAGTAGGCAGTGCTTCCTGCCTTTTCATGACTAAATAATATTCCATCAATGCCAGCTATCTGGGGGCTCAAGGGTCTGAGACCCACTTTTCTCCTCCTCTGTGCTGCAGGATTTCCAGTGCCCCAGCAACTAGGACCTTCAGCTCTCAGGTTCCTTGTGAGTTAAAAAAAAAAAAAGCAGAGAAACAGACAGACAGACACTATGAATATTTCTTGAAGGAGGAGGCCCAGCGATCAATCAGGAATAAGATCTCTGCCTTCAGTGGGTTCCCAGCCTGGCGGGCAGACACACACGGATCCATAATGAGAAAACAAGATGTTCCAGTGAAGGTAGCACAGTGCATGGGGGGCCCCAGAAGAGGAAGTGGCTAAGTAGCAATGGTGGCCAGTGTGCGTTTGGTTGCGGGGGACGTTTAGGAAAGTCTGATGAGCCACACTTAGAGGATACATGCAGGCTGCAGCAAGGCCTTCTCAGCAGAGTCCAGACGGTCCCTGAAACCAGGCACCTGAGGGTTGAGTGCCTTCTCAGCAGAGTCCAGTCGGTCCCTGAAACCAGGCACCTGAGGGTTGAGTGCCTTTGTTTTGTCGACTAAAATAGAAATGCACAACCTGAGAGCTGTGAGTTTCAGTTTTATTTGGGGACATACTGAGGACTGTGGCCCACCAAACAGCCTCTCAGAGAGCTCTGAGGAACTGCTCCGATATCAGCATCTGTGTGATTTTGGGGAAGGCGTACATGCCGTCAAGCACACATCTCTGTAGAAAGTTGCTGCTACTCACGAGGAACAGATACCTTAGTTAATGACTTTAGTGCTTTTCTAAGTACGAGAAGATGTAAGAAATTGGGTTCATAAAATCTTCTCCTGAAAATATCTAACTCTCTGAAGGCCTGTTCTGCCAGCTTTCCCAGAGCACAGAGTGCCTCATTCCAGATCCCTGCCTTGAACACCCTTCAGGGTATGTCGAAAGTGAGTAACTCCAGTGACTAATGACTCAATCCTTGTAGAGCCAAGTGGAGAGCGACATTCCTTAGTAGGCAGTCTGCTGGGTTACAGACTGTGGGGTCCACTAGGAGAAATGAGCCGGGACCCAAAGCTCTCAACTGCCATAAAGGTCTTGGATGTTATCCTGAGGGTACTGGGGAGCCATGGAAGGTTCTTGAGCAGAGAAGACTGAGAGGAGCTGATGCTGGTGGTGTGTAGACATGAAAAAGATATAATGGTAGTAACTGTTACCCCATCTTACATGTCAGGCACTGCCCTATGTGCTCCATATGGGTTAACTCACTAATTCTCATGGCAGCCCTAAGGTGTCATTGCCGTAATTATGGACCAGATTCTCTAATCCTCATGAAAGTAGAATTCCTGGTTTCATTTTCTTTCTTTCTTTCTTTTTCTTTTCTTTTTTTGGCCACATGCTTGTAGGGTCTTAGTTCCCCGACCAGGGATCGAACCCGTGCCCTTGGTAGCTCGGAGTCCTAACCACTGGACCACCAGGGAATTCCCAAATTCCTGGTTTCTTGACTCACTCCTACATGCTCCCCACCCCACCCCAACACACATACACACACACACAGAGACACACAGAGCCCAGCAATCCTGAGGAAAAAGCATCTGGAATAATTCCAAACTTCACACATCTAAGTGATACCCGAGAAGATCCAGAGCTTTCAACTTGGCAAGACTTGAGTTCGAATCCCGCCTCTGCCATTTAAGAGCTGGGTGCCTGTGGAGTGTCCTACAGCTGCTGTAACAAAGTACTACAGACTTAGTGGTTTAAGACAACACAAATTTATTAGCTTCTGTTTCTGGCGGTTAGAAGTCCAAAATGGGTCTTACTGCTGAAATCAAGGTGTGGGCAGGGCTGCGGTCCTTCTGGAGGCTCCGTGGGAGAATCCATTTCCTCCTCGTCTTTTCCAGCTTCTAGAGGTGCCTGCATCCCTTGGCTCATGGCCTCTACCTCCCTTTGCATGGTGGGAGGTGCTTCTGTCATGACACCCCCTTCTCTGCTTCTCTGATTCTGATAGTGACCCCTCCTTCGTTTGTAAGAGCTCTGCGATTACGTTGGGCTCACCCACATAATCCAGGAGAATCTCCCCATCTCAAGACCCTTAATTTAATCTGCAAAGTCCCTTTCATCATGTAACTACCGCCAACACATGTCCTGGAGATGAAGATATAGATATCTTGGGCGGGGGTGTTATTCTGCTCCCACAGGGCCCTTGGGTGGGTGGGTGGGGGGTGTCTCAGTTTCCTCAGTCTGTAAAATGGGGCACATCGTACCATTTGAGAGTCTGACTGCCTGGGTTTGGGTCTCCGCCTCTGCCTCTTGCTGGCGATGTGACCTGCCCCAAGGGCTTCCTCATCTGTGAAATGGAGATAAGAATAACTAGCAGTGTGGAATTGCGGAGCCAACCCGCCTAAAGCGCTCAGAGCATGTCTGACACGTGTGCGTTTCTTTTTTTTTTTTGGCCGCGCCATGCGGCTTGTGGGATCTTAGCTCCCCAACCGAGGATTGAACCCGGGCCCTCAGCAGTGAGAGCACAGAGTCCTAATCACTGGACCGCCAGAAAATTCCCTGACACCTGTGTGTTTCCAAGAGGTAGCTGCTGTTGCTGTTGCCTTTATCTGAATGTTCATGCTCAGAATCGAGTGAAAACAGAACGCGTGGTCCGCCTTTGATGGGTGCCTGGCACGTGGCTATAGCTCAGTGCTTCCTTAGTTTAGCTGCCAGTGGCAGGAGGGGGAATCAGAGCTCCTGGAATTTTGTTTTGTTTTGTTTGCCATTTAGCAGATATTGACCGAGAACCCACTGTGTGCCAGGCACTGTTCTAGACGCTGGAGATACAGCCGTGAGCAAGCAGACGAAAACTGCCCTGGTGGAGTGGAGCTCTAGCAAGTTCTCACCCCTCTCCCCCACCCACCAGTGCTCTCCTTCCGTTTCTTAGAGACCCCTGTCTCAGCCATGGCTCAGCATCTTCCTCCCGAATCCTTCCTTCCTTCATTCAGTCAACATTTCCCTGAGGTACCTGGGTTCCCAGGACTGCTCTGACCCAGCCGCTGTCCTCGAAGGGGGTCCGTGTGTACAGGGGATGTGTGCCCTAGAGCCCTGAAGGAGCCCAGGGGAGGGAGGGCTGGATGCTACCTGCTGCTCACTCTGCCAGGGAAAGTGTGTCCCCCACCTTGCCCCAGCTGTGCTTATGCCTGTCTGATTCCTGCTCCTCTTTCAAAAGGAAGTAAAGATGCCAACTCCCAGGTGCCCCGAGGCAAGACTTCCCCCTGCCCTGCCCTGGGCCTTGGTACCCACCTTCCTGCATTGGTGCAGAGGCTAGGCTTACTGGTGTCCCTCTGGTGGCTGTTTGATATCCTCAGGACATCCCTGAGAGGACTGGGGGAAGGGGGACTCCAGCCTGGTGGGCTACGTTCAATTTGGGAATCAGGCTCCTCCCACTGTCCACTTGCAGGCTGGGGGCCTGGAATCTTCCGGATCCTTCCAGAAACAGGCTGCTATCCTGGCTCAGCTGAGGGGAAGAGGCCATGGTCTTCCTCTGGGTGAGATGATATTGCAGTTTCACTCTTAGGAAACTGCTTCTGCTTGGTGGTGGGAATCGTTTTCCCCAGAAAAGGGAACCTGCCCGGGTAGGGGATGAAGGCCTCTAGGGATCTCTGTTTTCTCAGCTGTAAAAGCAAGGATCATGATGGTGCCTGTGTCATGGGGTTTAGGAGTGAGTCCACGCAAGGACTTAAAACAGTGCCTGGCACATGGTGAATGCTGCATAAAGGTAGGTATTCACGTTGTGGGGTCCTCCAGGTTGTGTTCAGAACTTCTGCAGAGCGGGACTTCCCTGGTGGCACAGTGGTTAAGAATCCACCTGCCAATGCAGGGGACAGGGGTTTGATCCCTGGTGTGGGAAGATCCCACATGCCGTGGAGCCACTAAGCCCGTGTGCCACAACTACTGAGCCCGCGAGCCACAACTACTGAAGCCCATGCACCTAGAGCCCGTGCTCGGCAGCAAGAGAAGCCACCGCAATGAGAAGCCCGTGCACCACGTCGAAGCGTAGCCCCTGCTCGCCGCAACTAGAGAAAGCCCACGTGCAGCAAAGATGCAAAGCAGCCAGAAATAAATAAATATAAATAAATTTATAAGATGAAGATACAAATTAATAAATAAATTTATTTATTTTTTTTAAAAAAAGAACTTCTGCAGAGCCTCCTGCAACCCTGAGAAGTTGTGCAGCTCTGTAGGGTAGGGAGCTCGAGCTCAGAGCAAGAGGCTTGCTGTGTCCCTGGGTCCTCCAGAAGGCAAATGCTGCTGTGGCGTTAGCAATGTAAGAGATTTATTGGGGGGGGGACACCAGTGAAAGGTAGAGGGGAGGGAGAAGAGGAGTAGGCGGGGGAGTCGGTCTGCCACCTGTAAAAGGAAAGGGGGGAAGGAAGGTATACTTAGGAAGAGCTTGAGACATGCAACTCAGCTCAGCCCAACGGGGGGATGCAGAGCAAAGATGCACGGCGGACAAATCCATAGGAACAGAAAGTAGGTTGGTGGTTGCCAGACGGGTGGGGAGTGATTGCTTAATCACTTCCTTTCTGGATGGTGAAAATGTTTTGGAACTTGATAGGGGTGATGGTGGCACAAGAGTGCAGCCGTACCAAATGCCACTGAATTATACACCTTAAAATGGTTAAAGTGACGAATTCTGTGTTACTTGAATTTTATCTCAATTTAAAGAAAAAAACCAAACAAACAGATTGCCATTAGATGAGTCCCACATTGGGTGGAAGTGGTCAGGCCCCAGCACGGCCCCCACCCCTATGCTAAGTCATTGGTTGGGGGCTGCCCAAAAAGAATCTCGATCCAAAAAAAATAATAGTTGCAGGTACTGCAGCTGGGAGCTGTCAGCCAAATGCAGTCCGCACAGTTGAGTAAGTTCTTTATTGAAGGGGGATCCATTTTGGCTGCCATACTTCCCAACGTCACTGTGGGGAGCTGGGGTCAGAGCTAAGGTTTGTCTGGTTCTAAAATCTGGTTCTTCCTCCTACACAGTTGGTGGGAATGTAAGTTGGTGCAGCCACTATGGAGAACAGTATGGAGGTTCCTTCAAAAACTAAAAATAGAGCTATCATATGATCCTGCAATCCCACTCCTGGCTATATATCTGGAGAAAATTATAATTTGAAAAGATACATGCATCCCAATGTTCATAGCAGCACTATTTACAATAGCCAAGACATGGAAGCAACCAAGATGTTCATCAACAGATGAGTGGATAAAGAAGATGTGGTGCATATACACAATGGACTATTACTCAGCCATAAAAAAGAATGAACTAAAGCCATTTGCAGCAACATGGATGGATGGACTTAGAGAATATCATACTACGTAAGCCAGAGAAAGACAAATATCATATGATATCGCTTATATGTGGAATCGAAAAAAAAAGATACAAATGAACTTATTTATACAACAGAAATAGGCCCACAGAAATAGAAACCAAACTTTTGGTTACATATACACACTACTGTTTATAAAATCGATAACAAACAAGGACCTTACTGTATAGCACAGGGGACTATACTCAATATTTTATAATAACCTAAAATGGAAAATAATCTGAAAAAGATTATATATGTGAAACTGAATCACTTTGCTGTACACCTGAAACTAACACAACATTGTAAATCAATTATACTCCAATAAAAAAAATAAAATAAAATCTGGTTCTTTCCAGTGTACCATGCTTCTTCCTCAAATACCCATATCCAGCCAAACTTCCACCCAAACCACCCGTTCATCTGTGCATATGTTCTTGCCTTTATGCATTTATCCAACTAGTTATTTACCCACTCATGCACCCATTTGCCTATCTATCCAACCATAATTTCTTCAGATATTCTTCCAGCTCTCCAAAGCTCCATCCATCCATTCAACTATCCATTCACCCACCCATATGTTCTTTCATTCTTTAACCCGTTCAATCAATTCTCTGTTCCTCTTTATCCTACAGTCCATCCATCAATCCAATCATCCACTTTCCCATTGATCCAGTCCACTTAATCAACCATCTATTAGCTTCCTATGGCTGCTATAACAAATTCCCTCAAACCTGGTGGCATAAAACAACAGAGCAGAGTAGGGGGATGGCTGCGGTGGGTGGGTGATTCCAGGCAGGGCTGTCGGGGAAGGTCTCCCGAGGAAGTGACGTTGCAACCAAGACCTGGAGCAGGTGAGAGAGTGAACCCTGTGAATATCAGTGGGCAGAGCCCTCCTGGCAGAGAGAAGAGTAGGGAAAGACCTGGAGATGCTTGGGACTTCCGGCTTCCAGCAAGGAAGCCAATGGGACTATAACAGAGTGAGCAATGAGGAGAATAGTAAGTGATTAATCAGAGGAAGAATGGAGGCCATTGTAAGGACATCACATTTTAATCTAGGTGTGTATCCATTGCCTGTAGTTTAGGACGTCAAAAAACATTTATCATCTCATATGGTTTCTGTGGGTCAGGAATTCAGGAGTGGCTTAGCTGGATGGTTTTGGCTTGGAGTTTCTCCTGAGATGGCTGTCAAGCTGTGGATGGGGTATAATCCTATGAAAGCTTGGTAGAGACAGGAGGACTGTTTCCAGGGTGGTCACTCACATGATTGTCAGATTCAGTTCCTCTCTGGCTGTTGGCAAGAGGCCTCAGTTCCTTGCCCTTGCCTCGTGGATGTCTCCATAGGTGGTTGCCATGACCTCTTGACATAGTGCTGAGCTCCCCCAGAGGAGTGAGTGATCCCAGAGAGGATGGTGTCTTTGATAACACAGCAATGGACATGCCATCTTTTCTGCAATATCCTGTTGGTTACACAGCTCAGCCATGTTCAGTGTGGAAGAAGCTACACAAGGCATGAATCCTGGGGAAGGGGGTGGGGTGCAGAGTGAAGATCCTCTTGGGGGCTCTCTACCAGGGTATGAGTCCGTTGCAGAATTTTGAGCAGGATAATGATGATGCTATAGGTAGAAACAGATATATAGATAATTATGTATATGCATGTGTGCATATGCATAGGTATGTATATATAGATATAGGAATATGTGTATAAATTAACATAGTATGAATACTTATATTTTATTCTATTATTGTATACATTTTGTTATTACACAAGTAATACATGAAAACAGAGAGACAACTCCCCACCAACCATTTATTTTTTTCCAGCTTTATCGAGGTACGACTGACAAACAAAAACTACGTATATTTAAGGCGTACACCATGATGGTTTTTTTTGGTTTTTTTTTTGCGGTACGCTGGCCTCTCCCATTGCGGAGCACAGGCTCCGGACGTGCAGGCTCAATGGCCGTGGCTCACGGGCCCAGCCGCTCCGTGGCATGTGGGATCTTCCCGGACCGGGGCACGAACCCGTGTCCCCTGCATCGGCAGGCGGACTCTCAACCACTGCGCCACGAGGGAAACCCCACCATGATGTTTTGATATATGTATACGCTGTGAAATGATCACCACGATATCAAGCTAATTAACACATCAATCACCTCACATAGTTACCATCTTTGTGTGTACGTGGTGAGAACACTTATGACCTACTCTCTTAGCAAATTTCAAACGTACAATGTTTTATTATTAACTGTAGTCACCACGCTGTACATTAGACCACCAGAACTTATTCATTTTATAATTGGAAGTTTGTACCCTTTGACCAACCCCCGTTCCCCCCTCCCTGTAACCACCATTCCACTCTTTGTTTCTGTGAGTTCGACTGTCTTTTGGATTCTACGTATAAATGAGGTCATGCAGTATTTGTCTTTCTGTGTCTATCTTTCCTCACTTAGCATAATGTCCTCCAGGTTCATCCATGTTGTTTCAAATGACAGGATTTCCCCCTTCCTCATAGATGAAAAATATTGCAATGTATGTATACACATCTTCTTTATCCATTCACCTGTCCACATACACTTAGGTTGTTTCCA